CTGTACTGCTCATTGCCCGAGGCCAACGTGTTAACTTCGTAACCTGACATTAAGGGTTTATGAGCCCAACTAGCTAACCTACATTGATGACAGCTGCGTCGATGCTTAGTCTACTTACTGAGCTAGTAAGAAAGCTTGAGAAAAGAAAAGTAGTAACTGGCAAATTGTGTATGACACCGCTGAGACTCCTGATTACTATGAGCATCGGTTCTTTAACTGTGGTTCACTGGGTTATTACTTCATGGAACGCAGGCCTGATACAGATATGTGTACTTCATACATAAATGCTTGCTAAAATGTTTCTCATTGGAAACCAGCAAATTGATGCTGGGTGTCCTAGCTATTCTGAGACACGCGCCAGGCGCTACCATCCCCGAGCCGCGGAGTAGCCGACGGTAAGCCCTAGTTGTCGAGCTTCTTGCCCGGCAGACGCGCAGTGTTTAAGTATTTCTTCTAGTCGCACAGCATCCTCTTGTATGTGAGCGGAGTCTTGGTAACAAACCGGGTTGTGTGCGACATATTTCCCTATATATAGGCTCGGAAGAGTATTACGGCTTCTTGGGCGCTAGGCAACACAGGCGCTCTGTTTTCGTGATTTCTTTTGTTGTTATGATGAATTCCTTTTTTGAAGAGATGGTAGTGTGATAAAAGCTATCAAAGTCACTTTTAATATGATTATGTGTTAATAGTTTAGGGAGAGCCACAGTCTCGACTTGAAGGTGCTTACGTAATTATGAAAGTCTGAGGCTACTGCCGCGTCACGTAACGCTGCGTTACGCTTGATTGGTATGAGTTATCGTGGATGGACGATTGCAAGCCTACGTGTCGAGTGAAGCGCTGTACGGCCCATCACACGTATGTCCATTAAGCCATTGGCGGGGTGGTGTATTCGATTGTTTGAGTCACTTGGTCTATCCCAGTGGGTAGTTGTTGCTGGACACGGTTCGTGGGTCTGATGCTGATTAGAGCTATAGCGTTACCTGTGTGCCTTGTAGAGTGAATATGTGTATATGATGTTGGTGTTATTATCAGAGTATGCAGAGAGGATATGGTAACCGATGTGATGAGGTATTGGTTCATATGAAGAGTAAAGTGCTAGTAAATGGTGATTGATGGTGAGAATAGAGTTAGTGGTGATTTTGTAAGGTCTTGGCCTGATTCTTTGGACTTCGACGATGCATTATGAATTAAGTCTTTGCTTTTTGTAGTTGAGTTTTGATGTAAAAGTAAATTGATAGCACGGCGCTAGGAGAGCATGATAGGAAGGATATCCTATGAGATAGCTGGAAAGAGAGAAAGTTATATAAATTAAAGGATTGTTGTCACTAGGTAGAGTAGACCCTGCAGAAAAAAAGATCTGATCCAACAGTTTCAGACTTCACAAGTCTTTTCTTCATTGGTTATAGACGCGACAGGTTTTAACGAGCAGTTGAATAGTTCATTGTATTTTAGTCTGTGTTTTTGTTGGATGAATATAGTTAGAGTGTGGTCATTAATAAAAGATTATAATGAGAGTATTTTTGTGTGAAAGAAAGATAGAAGATTGGAGACTGTGTCTGGAATGGGCGTCCAAAGGACATGTTGGTTTGCCTTTATAGAGACATAACGAGGGAAGTGCTTTGTGGACCTAAAAAGTTAAATTTTTGCTTCATGATATCTACTGGTTCCTCCCTCGGAATCTTTTGTTGTTGGGAGGTGTGGTGTTGTGTGGTGTGTGTGTTTGTGCGAGATTCGATATATCCTTGAAATAAAATTTGTTATATTTTTAAGGTCTGACAAGCAGATTCTTGGAGTTGTGTCTTCTTTCTTGACTCTCATGGTGTGTTCACTTTGTCCCTTTGGATTCTCTCTCGCCTCAGTTCCAGAGTGATCTCCTCTTATACTTGTGCTGTTTTCAGGAATATGTATATTTTCTTTGGAGTGTAGGAATATTTGAGGTATTCAGGTGCGCGGAAAAACACTCTATGATATAAAGATATGAATATTTATAGCTGTTAAAGAATCCTATAGCGTTCTTATTATAAATACATATAGAAATGTGAATAAGATGCTTTGTGTAAGTTCTAGATATGTCTGTTGATGGTCATTGATTTTTTCTTGAGTTGGTCTAAGTCTACCTATGAGCAATATAATCCGTTTATTTATGTGGGTTTTGCTGGCTATATGCTAAGGTTCTCCGTGTACTGCTCTTCTGCGCCTTTAAATTTATACTTTACATTAAATAGAAGTAATATAAGATAAGAGTAATTAGAGGTCGGTAATGGCTCTTTAGTAATGTTGCGGTCGAAGCCAGAAGTATGTAAGTCTATTCGATAGGAATTTATCAAAATAATATTGT